TCAACAATCTTGGAAAAATGCTTTGCATGGATAAATGGATAAATGGCCCATTTATCCATGCTTTGCATGGATAAATGGGCCATGTTCTAGACAAATAATCCAACCAAACACAGGGGTATAAATTCTGAAAACTCCTTAGTTAACTAGCTCAGAAAAGGCTTATACAATGAAAAGAATGTGGATTGGTCTTAAATGGCAAGTGAGAGCCACAAGACTTAAGAAGGGTGCCTGTCAAGCAAAATAAAAATTGAGAATCCAAGGATATGGAGAAAAAACACACATACCCAATCAAAGCGTTGGGTTAATGAATGAAGACAGGTAGCTCAGTCCTCATAAAACATAAACTCAAATGTGTTGCTCTATTTCTAGTCAAATTCTGATCAATGGAATAAAAACAGAAAAAAGTCCTTTAGAAAAAAATAAGTCCATCAATTTATAACAGGACAAATTTTACTGGAGTATTCAATTAAGAAAAAAAATCTAAAATTAATGGCTGTAAATTCAAGAGATCTCTAAGTACATGCAAAATTTTGAATATGTATATTCTTAGGACAAGCAAATTCGTCACTTTATTCAGATTCTAAATGAGATCAATGATCCCAAACTGGTTAAGAACCTACAGATTTAATCCAAGTTTTTTGAGTACTCATTCGTCAGAAATTTTAAAGATAATTTCTTAAGTAAAAAATGTTACCACAAGGGTTGGGGTTGTGGCTCAGCAGTAGAGCACTCGTCTACACGTGCAAGGCCCTGGGTTCGATCCTCAGCATCACATAAAAATAAATAAAATAAAGGTATTGTGTCCAACTACTTCTAAAAAATAAATATTTTTTTTAAAAAAGGTTACAACAGAAATGATACTATTTATATTCTTAGCTACTTTTCTAGGGCTTTGTATAATTTGTAGTACTTAGTGCAAAACATGGATATATAAAATTATAATAAATGAAAGAAAAAAGTTTGGATTTGACAACTAAAACTCCAACCATATCATATTGCATACTGAGAAGCAGGGTGTTTCATATAAGCAACATCTAAGAGACAGTACATCCATTTAAAGTCATTAGTCTGAGCAAAATATTTCCCACAGGCTACCCATGAAAGGCCAATAAACCAAACTGATAGTACAATATTGCCCTCTACTGGATTTAACTAGTAAGAATTAAGTCTCTAAAGCATTTAAGGACTTAATGGAATGCTCTTTTCCCACAAATGTGAATTTAGCCTAATATTAGCATAAGTCTGTGACATTCATTCTATAGTAATTTTTGTGTTGTGCTACGGTGTAGAAGTTTAGGGAAATCAACCATGAGTACACAAGGTAACAAAAAATTATACATTTTTTTCTACATAGGATTTTGGAGTTCAAAAAACTTAACATATATCTCTACAGAATAGTTTCTGTATAATTCCTTATAGATAAAAATTATTTCCCTCTCGATTCTATCCCAACAAGGAAAGAGAATTTATTGGGGGAAGGGGTGCTGGGAATTGATCTCAATGGCACTCAACAACTAAGCCACATCTCTAGCCCTATTTTGTATTTTCTTTAGAGACAGGGTCTCACCAAGTTGTTAAATGCTTTGCTTTTGCTGAGGCTGGCTTTGAACTCTCAATCCTCCTCCCTCAGCCTCCTGAACCACTAGGATTACAGGTGTGCACACCTCAGAAAGAGGGATTTTAAGGAAATCCACTCCTCTACTCATCCTTGTTTCTCTCTCCTTTTAATCTCCATTTGATAATGTTCAGCAACATTTCACTCTCATCATACATCTTAACGTAGGTATATAACTTCTTGCCATATCATATATTACAGCTTTCCTTCTCACAAATATGGGCCTTATAAAGACTTATCCTTCCACTGTCACATTCAAAAGGTTAGCTCAAACCCAGAAAGTTACCATGACAGTCATGAGATATCTGCTTTTTTCCATTATAATTTCAACTTTTATCATTTAAATTTTGTGTGCCATTATAAACTTTGAAGACACTAAGCATGAGGTCCAGATACTTTCCACACTGTTGTATTCTGTGACCTCTAAATACTGCCTCTGTTTATTTTGCTTACGATGGCTTACTTGCTGTCTTATAGTGTTTCATCAAATAATTTGCTTATTTTTCTCCTCTTAAGCAGTTTTCAGTTTAAAGCTGTCCTGACTACATCGCTTATTCCTGAGAAAACACTTTGAGGAGATGTACTCTAAATCTCCTTCCATATTCTTCCAAACTCAGTGAAAAAATAATAATAATTACACTAACTGTTGTCTTTTTCCTTAAACTTTTTAAATTAATGTTTAAATGAAGATAAACAAAAACTATGGCTTATAATCAGAAATGGGATTGTTAAGAGTTTTATATTTTAAAAAATATTTTACTTGGGGCTGGGGATGTGGCTCAAGCGGTGGCGCGCTCGTCTGGCATGTGTGTAGCCCAGGTTCAATCCTCAGCACCACATACAAACAAAGATGTTACGTCCACCAAAAACTAAAAAAATAAATAAATATTTAAAAATTCTCTCTCTCTCTCTCTCTCTCTCTCTCTCTCTCTTTAAAAAAAAAATTTTTTTTTAAATATTTTACTTCCGGTCACTCCTTTCCTTGGTCCTTCTGTAAGCAGAAATAAAATAAATACTACCATATTGATAAAATATTTGCTTTCAAATCAATATATCAGTGATCATAATTTAGTTCTTAGAAATGGAAAAAATCAAATCTTTAAATTGACTCAATTGTATATTCCACACTGAATGATGAGATAACCGCACCAATCAATTTCATGTATATTGACATGTTTATTCTATATAGACAAGCAAGTTCTAAGTTAAAATATTTAAAAGATCTAAGCTCAAAGCCATAATATAGAATAAAGCACTAAAGAAGTCACAGAATTTATATTCAAAATGCAAGACTATTCTGAGGACATGAATAATTAAATTGGGATATGTGAAAAATAGTTTAAAAAGCCAGGAGCTAGGGAGACTGGGGCAGGAAGATGGAAAGTTCAAAGTCAGTCTCAGTAAAAGCAAGGTGCTTAGCAGCTCAGTGAGATCCTGTCTCTAAATAAAAATACAAAATAGGGCTGGGATGGGGCTCAGTGGCTGAGTGCACCTGAGTTCAATTCCCAGTACTCAAAATATATATATATATATATTTTTTTTTAAAGAGTAATTTATTTTAAGTCTGGCTTGCACAGCATATCTGAACTCCAAAGAAGTATAAAAGATGGCAAGAAAAGAAAATAACAGCCAGGCCAGGTGTTGCATGCCCGTAATTCCAGCGGCTCAGGAGGCAAAGGCAGGAGGATCGAGAGTTCAAAGCCAGTGAGACCCTGTCTCTAAATAAAATACAAAATAGGGCCAGGGATATAGCTCAGGGGTTGAGTGCCCCTGAGTTTAATCCCTAATACAACCCAAAAAATCCAGTAACAACATGTAATAATAAAAGAAAATTCAAAATGAACCATGAAACATAATTTTCTGAAGAAATATGAGACACAAAAGAGTACACTGCATTTAAAGCCTTATACTTCGAAATAATGGTTATTCTTAAACGAATAGATAAAATGTTACCTAGTAACAGAAATGAAAACACTTCACACAAAGTTATAGAAACATATTAATTCTCCAATAAATGGAATAGTCAGGTTTCTGCTAAACAGTTTATTGGCTAAAATCAGTTACAAAAAGTAAGCAGAATAATTCTGTTTTTTAAGGACAGCATCTTCTATTTTTTTTTAATATTTATTTTTTAATTGTAGTTGGACACAATATCTTTATTTTAATATGGTGCTGAGGATTGAACCCAGGGCGTCTCATGCCCTAAGCAAGCATTCTACTGCTGAGCCACAACCCCAGCCCAGCATCATCTTCTATTTTTAATATGAAATGTAAATACCTCACAAGTATTTAATAAATATTAAATTAATATTGTTCAAATGATAAATGGATAACCATGATTTTAATGTAGAAATATAAACCTTAAGAAGTTTATATTTTGTACTAAAATACATAACCACATATGGAAAATATACTTCATATTCCTATTTTTGTTATGCAAACACTGCAACTTTTGTGAGTCACTTTGCTTTTGGAAGTCTGTTTTTCTCTACCAAAATTGAACCTGAGTTGTCTATCACTGAGAAATACTTTAACGACTGGCAAGAAAATAATTCTGTTTATGAACCTCAGGAAATCGTCATGAACCCCTTTGTTCTTCCATTTGCAAAGTTATCTTGTCATCAAGATATACTACTTAAAATTATTCTCTTCTTTCTCACTTCCCAGCTCTTATCATTCTATCCATCCTAAATAAGTCTTAATTTAATCTTTGGCCTTTTTGTGACTAACAAACATGCTCAAAGAAAGTGATAAAATATAAGATGTAATATTTTGGTGACACTTTGGGATTCTTAGGGAAAGACATTTCAAAAATATAAATGGGTATGTTTAGAAATTCATTACAGAAATCTTTACACAATATTTAATAGTATTAACAAAGACAGGTTTTTTGCTAACAAAGAAAAAAGTTTATATATGAAGCTATTTTTCTCCTTTTTATCAATGATTATATGAGGTGCTACCTTTTTATATTTTTAGACTCCAGAGAATAAGAAAATTCATCATAATTGAAATGACCCTTACCCTAAGAATATTATAACATTCATATATCTACCTTAAAGAATCTCTGGAGTCCAGGGTCAAATGTCTTTCTCTATTTTGCCTCACACAAACTTAATGCTCAATAAATATTTATAAGGCCCTGGGTTCCATCCTCAGCTTTTAAAAAAAAAAAAAAAAAAGGCAGTCTTGGCATTAATAAAATAAATTAAATCAATAAATTCTTTTTTATTTATCTACTCAAGAAGTATAAAATCTTTTAATCATTCAAGAAGTACACAAAATTTGTTAAACATAATAGGGTAAGGAATATTTTCACATTCCTATTTTAAGAAATTCCTAGCATGCATTTTACGTGTAGTTTTATGTATGAAAAAGAACTTACCTCTCTTACAGAGAGCTGTGGTGGGAAGGAGACTGAAAATACCAAGTTTGTGAATTCAAACCCAGAGGCCTCAACCTTTTGACACACCTAAAAAAGTATTACATTTATGTAAATTCCCAAGAATGGCTAAAAATTTTGAACTTCATAACATGAATTTCTAGTCCAGGAAAAGACACTGCAAAACTTCAAAACTCACATTTTGGGGCTGGGGATTTAGGCTGAGTGGTAGAGGACCTTGCCTAACATGCACCAGGGCCTGGTTAAATGCTTAGCACCACAAAAGAAAACATACATCTCTCTCTCTCTCTCTCTCTCTCTCTCTCATACACACACACACACACACACACACACACACACACACACACACACACAGAGTGGGGAACTCTTATAAACCTTCTGAAATTAAATATTTGCTATCACCCTGAAGATAAGTGTCATAAAGTACCAAAACAGCCAGAAGTGACACCTGCAGAACAATCTGATGAATGTCAAAATAGTTTTCTGTTAGGTCATCTTATTATTTTAAAATATTTCCAAATAAAATAAAGCCAACTATAGTGCTCTTGACAACAAGAAACAAAAGGTAGGGCTGGGGATGTGGCTCAAGGGGTAGCGCGCTCGCCTGGCATGCGTGCGGCCCGGGTTCGATCCTCAGCACCACATACAAAGATGTTGTGTCAGCCAAAAACTAAAAAATAAATATTAAAAAAAAAAATTCTCTCTCCCTCTCTCTCTCTCTTTAAAAAAAAAAAAAAAAAAAAAACAAAAGGCAACCCCACATCCAGTAATTAATCATTTTCAAGGCTGTAACACTTGTTTTTTCTAGGTAATGTTAGCTATGACTAAGAAAGAACTTTTCTCCAACTCCTGAACAATGTTAAAAGCAATGGAAAACAAAATGCTATATTTTTCTTCAATTGAATATCACTAATGACTGAAAAATAAGGATATAAATTCCATTAATTTTCAAATATGTTGATACAAAGGAATGTCAGAATAGCAGGCTTTTCTTTTTCTATTTTAATACCAGGGATTGAACCCAGGATGCTTACCACTGAGCCACATCCTCAGCTCTTTTTATTATTTTGAGATAGGGTCTCACTAAGTAGCTTAGGGCTTGGCTAAGTTGCTGAGGTTGGCTTTGAACTTGCAATTCTCCTGCCTCAGCCTCCCAAGACAAGGAATTATAGGCCTACACCAGCAAGTATAGTAGCTCTTCAAAAAAAATTTTTTTTAAATATTTTACTGGTTCATTCATGTGAAACAAGTTAAAATGAATAGCACCATTCCTTTCCATACAAGAATTCTAAGCTTAGGGGCTGGGGTTGTGGCTCAGTGGTAGAGCACTCGCCTAGCACATGCGAAGCACTGGGTTCAATCCTCAGCACCACATATCAATAAATAAAATAAAGATATTGTGTCCAACTACAAAAAAAAAAAAAAGAATTCTAAGCCTTAAAACTGAAAATCTACATAATTATCCCTATAATAAGAAACAAATTATTTACCTTTTTAATGAACTCTTTCTCACAGAATTCTTGAAGAATTCCTAGGCAAACATTGCATACATTTACATTTAAATTTGAATTTGGGGAAGCAATGCTCCCATCTTCAATAACAGAGATCTTGCTCTCCCCATTTTGACTCAGATTATCAATCCCATCTTCCAGTTCTTGAAGCCGAATTTTCTTGAGAGGTGGGTTTGGAACTTCCAAAATTAATTCATCTTTTTCAGCTTTCAGAAATTTCTGCATATCATTAAGCAACTCCTGAAAAGTAAATAAAATAAAATAAAGGAATGACCCTTTTATGATGTCCTTAAGGAGTTCTGGATAAGATGAAGCAAGAAAACGTAAGTAAAAATTATAGCAGATCAAGTTATATAGATCAAATTATAGCAGTGTACATAGATTGTACACTGTTGATTTACATCAATTCTAGAGCAATCATTTTATTAACCAGCATTGGATTTCTAGGGAATTTAAGAGAAACTTATATATAATTTATATATTTATATGGATAAATATCAGGAGTCCCATATATCAGTTAACCTAAAACCCTAAATCTTAGGCAAAAAGGCTCCATTAACAAATTTACTAATTTGGTCAGTAGTTCTTTCTTGTAAGTAAAGTATTCACAGTAAAAACAAACTTGAATTCTAATTATTAATATTATATAAAAATAAAAACAGAGCTGGGGATGTAGCTGAGTGGTAGAGTACCTCCTCAGCATGTAGAAGGCCCTAGGTTTAAATCCCAACATTTCATCTTCAAATAAAAAGAAGAAAATACAAAGTGAGTTTCCATCTTCCATAATCTCACAAACATGAAAAGTACAATATTTGTTTAATATGAAATTTGATCATTTAGACATAGAAGTCTATTAATTAAAAAAAAAGAAGAACAATTTTGAGACAATTTACTAACAAAGGACAGAGATGCTGGCAGTGCTGAAATTAGGCACCATAATTTCAAACCATATGTAAACATTAATTGAAAGAAACCCTCTCTATATTCTGGTCTGCTTAATTTCGTGTATTAGAATGTAAAAACTAGCATTCCTTTTAAAATATTCTCATACTTCAGATAGTCTACTCATGTAAATAGTCAGAGAATGTTTACTATTTCTTCATTAGGTTTTATTATTTAGTTGTTGAAGAAATATCTTTCTGAAAGTCATTCAGATTACACTACTGACTCTAAAGGGAAAAAATCTTTCAAATTAATTAATTTCATTGCAACATTAGTTATTCTATTTCAACATGGAAATACTCATATATACAGCACACAGAAGTATATTATGACCCACAAAAATGTTTATTACTTACTATCTGTAATGTCAGCATAACACAGTACATGTATATGTACATAGGCCTATATACCTATGAATGTAACAAATCAAAATTTAAAAACACTTAAAAATAGTTTTTAAATGTTTTGTATATTTATTTACATAAAATGATATGAGCAAAAGTTGGCAACACTTAGTATCTTCATATAATATATATTGTGAATCTTATGACATGTATAATGTGTCTGAAAAAAATGTATACAGAAGGTTACCCAAAACCAATCACCTTGTATATAAATGAATATATGCATATATATTGATCATCACAGAATATGTGCCACTTTCAGTTTTCAAAGTTTTTTCACATACTTTATTAGATATTGTCCCTTAATATCCTGTGAGGTAGATGTTATCATCATTCCCATTTACAGAAGAGTAAAGTGAAGCTGGAAAGCAGTGGAACTGGGATTCAAATCCATTTCTTCTAGCTCCAAATCCTAAGCTTTGGATTCTGACAGACTATTCAAATCCTAGCTTGCTCACTTAATAGCTGTGTAACTTTGGATAGGTTGTTTAACCTCTCTGTGCCTCAGTTTCTTCATCTGAAAATAGAGACAATCATAGTATGTACTTACCTAATAAGTTATTACTGGGATTTCGTAAGAACTTGATATAAAGTAATGCTAAGTGAATAATGAGCATTATATTTTCTAAAATAATAGGAACAACAAATTATAGAAGAAAAATGAAGGTGATTGTTAATTGCTGGACAGGGTTTTAAATTTTAAGAAACTGAGGATGTATGTATATGAGTGTGTGTGTATATTTACACACATACTGTTACTATCTCTGAAAAGAATGTCAAAATATATTCGTCAAACATATTTCACAAATATATTTTATGTGAAAGTATCCCATTAAATGACAAAGTTCTGCTTATTACCATAAATGTCAAAGATCTCTACACATTACTTTTGTTGTAATTAATAGAATAATGATGACAACAAGCATTTACTTCTACAGTGTTCAAATACAGTCATACACCATACAATGTTTCCATCAACAAAGGATTGCATATACAAATGACTGTCCCTAAAGACTGTGTTGCCTAGTGATATCATGGCCATCTTAGTTTGTAAGAGTATACTCTAAATATTTGTACAAGCACAAAATCACCTAAGGTCACATCTCTCAGAATGCATCCCCTTTGTTAGGCAATAAGATTTCAGCTATTTAGAAATATGACTGGAAATATAGATAAAAGGTAAAAAAAAAAATGCTTCCACTTAAGAGAAGTCTGAACTACAATCCTTTCATGTCACATCTTACTAATACCTGGCGAGAAGCAATATTTTGTGATATTATATTGAGATAACTTTTAGGAAAGGCGTACATAAACACTCAGTGTACCAGAGTATTCCTCCACAAAGATCCCTCTACATTAAATGTTAAATAATCACTCAAGAAGCAATTCCTAGGGAACAAAAATTCCTATAATGGCTTAAGAAAAAAAATCCTAGACTAATTTTTAAGGTAATGACAAGTCCAAAATTATAATTATCAGTCGTTATTTTATTAGCAAATTTTTATTTAATGAAGAATTATGGATACTTTCCATCAAGGGTATCAGCATTCCTTTTAAAATACAGAAAATCTTTCTTATCTTAAAAAAATGGAAATACCTCATATGAATGTTTGTATGGTGCATGAAAATCCACGCCACAGAATCTGAAGATACATCTTGGACAGGTGCCAGTACTGAACAACAACTGAGCCACATGCTTATTTTCCTCAGTCAGTGGAAACATGCTGAATTATAACTGGAAAGAAAGAAAAGAAAAAATAATGAGCAGTTTCAGTATTTTACTGTCACAGACAAGTATGCTATCACCTGTAGAAATTAAAACTATTTTTTATGTGTTTTATGCTCTCCCTTTTCATTATATGTAAATTCTAAAATACTAACTTGAAGGAAATTTGTAAGATGGCAAGAAGCCCAATGTGATGGCTCTTTCCTAGTCCCAGCTACTGTAAAGGCTGAAAAAGGAGGATCCGTTGAGTTCGTGAGTTCAAGGCCAGCCTAGGAAATATAGCAAGACCCCATGCAAAAAAAAAGGATAAAATATGTTTCTAATTGTCAAGAAATTTGGGTTAGCATTCTGGATTATGATAAAGTGTATCATTATAAGCAAGTCAATCAAAAAAAACTAAGAATAACTGTTTCCTTTTTTTTTTTTTTTACTGGTTCTAGGGATTGAACTCAGGTCCTGGTGCATGCTAGGCAAGCACTCTACCACTGAGCTACATGACCAACCACCACCACTCTTTTTATTTTGAGACAAGGTATCACCTAGTTACCAAGGCTAGCCTCTGACTTTAGATCCTCTTGCCTCAGCCTCCTGAGTCGCTGGGATTACAGGCATGAACCACTCAGTACTATTTGAGAACAAAGTAGCTAATTCATTAAACTTTTAAATTAAAAATGAGTTTGCTAGGAAAAAATTCAGATCAGTCTACATTATATATACATTTAGCTAGCCTTAATGATAGTTTAGCAATCAAGTATTAAGACAAATTGATCAGAATGTCCAAAAACATCAACTTTATTTTGATGCTATAACAGCTAAATGTCAACTAGTGGTCAGCAAAATGAAAACAAATTCCTCCTTTCATCCATGAGTAAAACCTCCAACAAAAATAAATCTCAAAAAATATTTGAGAGTAATTATTTGCCTAAACTGTTGCCAATTTTTGCAACCTGAATAAACTCATAAACTACATAAAGAATGGGGGAAAAATCCAATATAAACCTCTTGTTGCAAGGAAGGCAGGGTACCAAAAATTCAAAATTATCTAATCACTGTATGTTTGGTAAAAATAAATATGATTAGTGAATCAGACTATATCACTTTTAAAATGATGAACTAGTTAGCAGGGCATGGTCACACACACCTGTAATCTCAGGGATTTGGGAGGCTGAGGTAGGAAAATCCCAAGTTTGAAGCCAGCCTCAGCAATTTAGCAAGACTGTCTCAAAATAATAATAATAATAAAAAGAACCTAGATTGCAGCTCAGTAGTAAAGCACCCCTGGATTCAATCCACATACAGTATTGGGGATTGAACGCAGGGCTTTGTACATACCATGCAAGTGCTCTACCACTGCGCTATATTCCCAGCCCATGAACTAGTGATATTTTATGATATAATGAATTTATGGTAATGTGAAATGGTATAATTACGGTCATTTAGATAAGACCACAGTACCTTTCGATTTGTATAATTTTGTAGGTCAAATAAACTTGATAAAAATATGTAGGAGAATGAAGTACTTACCAACAGCATACTATGGAGATACAAGACTTATAATTAGTGTGCTTTACAACCCTTGAAAACTCACTACTTACTTACAAGTTTCTAAATGTTTGTGGCTACTAATCAAGAGAAGTTGATTCTTAACATAAAATAACAAGGGAAACAGTTATATAATTCTGAAGCTCTCTTCACTATAAAAAGCAGTTCAGCAGCCACATTACAAAAAACAGATTGCTTCTGCATAGGTTCTAACTCATGAATATGTGAGTTATCAGGAAGAAGACAAGCTTGTCTGGACACATGATTGAAAACTTTCAGACATCAGGACTGGTAAATATTTATTCAGGGTTACCTAAGTAAATCTGAGCTCCAGGGTACTTTCAAGAAAGTACTTCAAATGTGGGGAGAACAGCCTCTTAAAAAAATGAAACTGTGGGGGTTGGGGGTGTGGCTCAAATGGTAGAGTACTGGCCTCACATGTATGAGGCACTGGGTTGGAGGCACTGGGTTCAATCCTCAGCACCACATAAAAACAAATAAAATAAAGATATTGTATCCACCTAAAAATAAAAATCAAATTTTAAAAAAAGAAACTGTGTAGTTAAATCAATATTCTTTACAAGGATCAGAATCCCTTACCCCAGCCCACTGAGTCTGTTTGATGCTAAGAAGGGACTGAGATTCTGTGAGGGCCTGAATATAAACATTTAAAGTGCATCCCTCGGGCTACCCTCACAGAGAAACTGTTTCTGTCTAACCCATTATTTTTTTCTCCTCTTTTCCATTAAAATCATAAATTCAAAAAGAGAAACAAATACACTTTCTTCAGTAGGTGCTTTATAAAGACACGTCCTACTGAAGCTTTTCTTGGGCACTCACATAGCTACATTCAGATTTTTTCTCTCTCCTCTTGGCTTAAAGACTGAATGTTATTTCTCCAATAAGTTCACTTAGAATAAAGGTATCATGCTGTCAGCAAATGACACATTAAGATCACCTGGCTCTAGAAGTTCCCAAACCTGTTTAGAATTACAAAACCTCCTGTCCTGAATAATTTGAAGTCTAAAAACGCTCAAGAAAAAAAAACTCGAGCATATGTTAATAATTAAGCTATGGTTTACAAACCTCTTAACACCATTCTCATTTAGCAATATCTAGCGACTTCTGGAGCCCATTAAAAGAAGGAAATATGCCTTAAATTTGGTTATTTCTTCTTAATATAATGAAATGATAGGATTTCACATGAAATCAGTTGTGCTATATTAGATTATCTTTGAAAACAAGCCCTGAAGAAAGCGTCTCACGCTGAAAGTTTTCCAGTATTAGTTGCAGTTGTTAGGATTCTTGCTTTTTGATTACCTATTTGTTTTACAGGGAAAGGGAAAGGGAGGGGGAACCCCCTCTGGAACAAGTTGCAACAGAACCGCCTTACACCGCGAGATCTTTTAAAATTAGTTTCCATACACACGAATGTCACTCCTCGGTGGTAAGGGGATGCGGATTTCTAGGGAAGGAGGTGCTGAAGACTTCAGTGAGCAGCAGACAAACTCAGCTATGGACTCTAACTTGGGATACTGGAAATTTCACCCACCCACCCCACCCCACCCCCCCGGTCCTGGAGTCTGTTTTGGCCAAGTAAGCCCTTACCCTCTTCGCTCAGGTCCAAGAAACTTCGCATTCACCCTTCCCAATAAAGCCACTCCAGCGGTAGGGAAACGAGCCCTTCTAGGGACACCTCTCTAGCACCGGGTCCGCAGCCCCTCACCTCAGACCTCCCCGCCTTACCTTCTCCCAAGATCCCGGAGCCTAATATTTAACCCCTTCTGGCCCTCCAAGGGAACCGGGAAGACTAAAGACAACGCACCTATTGCGCTTTAGCAATTCTGTTCCCCGAGGAAACCAGAGCTTTAGAACGAAAGTACCAGGCCTCTCTGGTGAGGAATGAGTGAACTTCTCCCCCGTTTGTTTATAGGGAAATCTGCAACACTGATGGCTTACAGCCTCACACCCTGCCTCCCTCACTACGGCAAAAGTGCGTGGGACTTCACATCCAGCGGGAGAGGTCCAGTCCCAGAGAAGCTTTCGTGGGACTTTGCATCTAGAACAGTGTAGCCGCTACCAGAAATATCGATGAACACTTACTCCTCAATTTTAGAACAGAAACTCTTTCTAGGGTAAACAAGAAAATGGTGTTTCTTCCCATGGATTCGTGGTATCCGCCTGCCCTCTAGTCGCACCTGGCGAAGTACCACGAGCCTGCTCTGACTTGCAGGAGTGGGCGGGGCGGAGAGTTCGGCTTTCTGCCTATAATGCCTGACGCTCGAGGTGCTGGTGTACCCGGGCCTGCACAGTCCCGGTGCGGAGCGGGAGCTGAGCGGAGGCGGAGAGATGGCGTCTCAGCCTCCCCCTCCCCCGAAACCCTGGGAGACCCGCCGAATTCCAGGAGGTGGGCCGGGACCGGGACCCGGCCCCACTTTCCAGTGAGTGTGGGACTCTTTCGGGATCGAGCTTGGTGGGCCGGAGCGAGGATTGGGCTGGCGGCAGTTGAGGCCGTTATTAGGGGGAGATACCTCCCCCCGCCTTCTCCCGGCCTCCTACTTTGGGAGGGTGGAGGGGTAGAGTTAGGACCCGGGCGCCTCCGGAGAGGGTTTCGAGGTCTGACAGCTGTTTCCTATCCGACGGCAACGTTTTCCCTAGAGCTCTTCGGCGTCTCGCTGGGTGCCGTAGCTTGTAAGAAAAGGGGGCGGCTTCCTGCCTTTCTGTTTTTGCAGGACGGGAGCAATACTGCTTGACCCCCTTTAAAGCGTCAGACTTTGGTACTATAGCAGTTGAGAGCCGCGTTTGCGCAGCCCCCGCATCGATAGAGAGCAAAAGTCATTAGTGAAAAGCTATTTACAACCTTAGGAGAAGTTGGTGAAAGCCCAAAAGGTCACTTTTACGCAACTGGAGTCCAACTTGGCGTTCTTTTCCAGCATAACTCAGCTAATGTTTCGACTGAGATTTGGAGACAGACTCTAAAGCAGGAATTCTAAATCTGTGGATGGTCTGGGAGTGGCCTTTCTGTACAGAAAGGTATTTTTCTAGGGCCTATAGGTTTTTGTTTTGTTTTTAGTCAACACCAAATCGGTCTGCAACTTTTAAAAGGTTGAAACATACAGAATTAGAAGTTTCACGATCATATTTTTTTTTCTGCTGGATAAATGGATATCTTAATTCGAGTGGCATGATTCCTGTATACTCTTGTAGATTGTCCTAACTCATACAAATCCCTAATGTATTGAAATGTATTTATTCTGTATTCTGAAATCTTGTAATCTTTTATTTACACGCTAAAGTGCTTGAATACAATAACTACTTAATGATAGATGCATAACAAGTAATAGCTTTAATTATTTCTGTTAAGTAAGGTCAACACTTTTGCCATCTTTTTAATGAGTGATTCTTTTTTCTCATTTAGACTGCTTGTTGGAAGATACAGGTTTCATTTTTGCATGTTAAGGTTCTGTTGATATAAAATTAACGATTTCCCCTTTTTCTTTAATATGAAATGTTTTAAAAAACACAGACTGGTCAGGTGTAAGGTAATGCTTGTGTATTCACCACCCAGCCTTGAGAAGTGTTAATATTTGCCAGATTTTTTAAAATATTTTTTTAGTTGTAGATGGACACAATACCTTTATTTTATTTGTTTATTTTATGTGGTGCTTCACGCAGCCACAACCCCAGCCCTACCAGATTTTTTAAAAATTAAAGATAAACTATGCCATTCTTCTTTTCAATAGTAACTATTGTCTCTATTTTGTGTTTAGTGTATCGGAAAATGTTTTTAAACTTTAGTACTTAGGTTCATTTTATTTCATATATATGTGTACATATTATCATCTAAAGCTTAAAAACATACTAAGCAGTAATATTTTTAAAAATATTTTTTAATGAAAATATTTTTTCATTTTATTTTTTATGTTGTCTTTGTTTATCAGTTTGTGAGAGTACATCATTGTGTTTTGCTAATCTTTCAGTCTGTGGCTTGTCTTTATATTTGTGCTTACTTTTGTACAGATTTTTAATTTTAATATAGCCCAAATTGTCATATTGTTTGTGTTTTTCACATTCTGATCTTTAATCCACCTAGAACTGGCTTTGATGTACAGAAATCAGTGTAAAGTACGAAATCTGTTTTTTTTTCCTATGTGCATAACTAATCACCCCAGCATTATTTACTGGATATATTCCATCTTAGTTTATAATGCCATCTGTCTCATACCAGGTTTTCTTAAGTGTGTAGTTCTTTGGGGGAAACTATCTTACTTTTTCTAGTGATCTATTTGTTCTTTTGCTAGCACTACACTGCCCTAATTAGAGCTTCATACATGCACATACACACCAGGCTCCTGGTCTTAAGTCATTCTCCTTCCTCAGTCTCCCAAGTAGCTGGGACTACCTGTGTGCCCTGCTGCAACTAATTAGTTTTGATATGTATTTATGTCAAGAGGCTCCACACATTGCTGTTCTTCAAAATTGCCTTAATTACACTTAATCTTCATGAAAAGACTTACTGGAAGTTTTCTTGAATTTATACATCAAATAAGTCTCTTTTTTATTGTGTGTGTAAGGTACAGTTGGTGAGAATTTTGTTCTTTTTTTTTTTGCCTTCATTAATTGTCATAAAGGTCTCCATAATGCCCTTTCTCTTATATTTTATTCCTAGATTTTATATGTGTGTATATATGTTGCTGTTGTAATGTGATCTTTTCTTTTATACTTTCCATTTGGTTATTAACTGGTGTGTCAGAATACTAAATTTTTTTTCTTTTTTTTTTTTTTGGTATTGAACCCAGGGGCACTTTACACTAAGCTACATCCCCAGCCCTTTTTCTTTTTATTTATTTTATTTTATAAATATATAGAGAGGGTCTTTCTAAGTTGCTGAGGCTGGCCTTGAACTTTCAATACTCCTGCCTCAACCTCTCAAGTCCCAGGGATTACAGGCATGCACCACCAAGCCCAGCTTGATATTTTTTCAGTATAAATATGAATAATGTCAAAACTCTTTAATTCGTTTTAATGGTTTGGTTGAAATTGTCTCATTCCATATAAATGATTCTGGTATTTACAGCTAAACCAAGAGTTAGCCAGCATTGTTGTATTGGTACTGACTACCATTGGAATGGTTACATTTTGTTTTTGATAGATCCCTGTCTAAATTCTCATTACCTTACTCAGATTTTTTTTAATATTTATTTTTTTGTAGTTTGTACACAATAACTTATTTATTTTTATGTGGTGCTGAGGATCAAACCCAGGGCCTTGCACATGCGAGGCGAGCGCTCTACCGCTGAGCCATTACTCCAGCCCCACTCAGATTTTTATTTGAAGAGTATTAAATTTTATGAATGCTTTTCTGTATCTGTTAAGATTATATGCATTTTTAAAATATAAAAATATTGCTTACTGTACTAACTTTCTAAAACTGAATTATCTTGCTTTTTGGATGAATTCTGATTAGTTATTGTTTTATATGCAATCCTGAATTATTTTAAGACTTTTGTATATATGTTTCTAGGTGAAATTGAAATATTCTTTCTTTGTACTACTCTGGTTTCATTTCAGAATTTTACAGCCTGAGAAATGTATTCCTAATTTGTCATTTTTTTTATAGACAGATTATCTTCCCCTTTGTAGCTTTTAAGATTTTATATGTTAACTCTGATGTTGTTATGCTGTATTGGGTAATAATATATAGACATATTTTTTCCTCCTCTACAGTGTTTAATCTTATTCATGTTTTTCTTTAATTCAGGAAAATTCTCATGAGTTACATCTTTAAATATTGTTTGGGCACAGTTTTTCCCCCATTTATTCTCCCACTAGACACTTATCAGAAATAGTTTCTGCTAAAAGTAACAATATCTTACTGTGCTTTGAACAATTAAAGACACTTACTGTTTGGTTAGCAAGAAACATAGGGATCTGCTGTCTCAACATTGTCACCAAGGGAACTGAACTTTTCCTGGCTTCCTTCTTTTCTGTCTGCTTCTTCTTGCTTCCTTAAAAAGAACCCAGCTCCCCTACCCCACCCCCAGCAGCTTTCAAGATTTTCTGTTTTGGGTTTTCAATTATACTTTATTGGGTTTCGGTATGGTTTTTCTTTGTATTATTCTGAGTGGTATTCGTAGGGATGCTTAAATCTGATTTTGATATTTTTCATTAATTTGAGAGAAGTTTCACCCATTGTCCCTTCAAATATTGCTTCTGTCTATTCTCTCTTTACTCCTTTAAATCAAATTACATATATATACCCTGTATTTCTTTATATACCTTGTAGGCTATTAAGCTAGTCATTGAGTTCATGTTTCAGAGGGATTTTTTGTTTGAGTTAGGTTTGGTTTTGAGGAGTGTTGTGTGTGTGTATGTATATATAGTGTTTAGTTTTAGATCCGTTTGATCTGGCTTTATGGTTTCTATGCTGAAAAATCCCAATATTGTCAATTTTTTTTATTAAACAGTTTTTTAAAGTCTCTAATTCCTTTTCTAGATTCCCTATAGGGCTCTTGTATTATCTGATATTGCTCTTCTAAAAAAACATAATTTTATCATAATGTAGGCCCAATTATTTTTTAATGGGAGATGGATGTCACATATAGATAGTTTTAAGTCAATTGAGGACTAGCAATAGTGTCTTCCTTCAGAGATTTTTTATTTTTGACCAAAATGGCTAGTCACTAGCAATCTAGATTTAATTTAATCCAATTAGGATTGAGCTGATTTGAAACTGGTTTTCTTACTAAGGCTAATAATTTATTTTCTGTTAGCCTTTTCACCCTTACTCCTAGCATATAGCCCTTTAAGGTCCCAGTCTGAAGTGTGAGAGTACTGTAGCCCTCCTCTTTAAGAGTTCTAAACTCTAGTTTATCCTCTTAACCCAGGGATTCTATCTAACACTGCCCAGTTTCTCATCCTATCAGCCATCTTCCTGAATTAGCCTTGGTCCCTGGAGAAACATCTCAAAATGTTGCTTTCTGGGTTTTTTCTTGTGGATCTTGACTGTAAAACTCCTCAGTGCCTGTTCACTAACACTTTACACACACATTTTTCTATCTTTTTCCTAGCTTTTCTACTTTTTTTTCAGTTGTAGTGTTAGTCTAATTACCTAGACTACCATTACTTCAAGTGAAATTCCCAAATTCTATAATTCTACTCTACTCCTTACAACTTTGTTTTTATAGCAACTAAACTTTTTTCTTGTTTCGTAGTTGCAAGATAGCTGCTGTTGCTGTGGGCATCATGTTTTAAGATTTCTAATAGATTTTTTTTCATTATTAAGATGCTTTTAATTCATATGAGTTTTTTCACAGATGATATTGCTTGCAGTGTTTATCTCTGTGATATATTTAAACATATCTAGAATCTTTGCTGAACTGTTAGTTTTTCCTTGAATGAATTTTTATTCTTGTTGATTTTTGTTGGCCTGATTTCTTGA